AGCGATATACCGGCGAAAGTTCCTTGGGCAGCTAAGAATGATTTGGGCCCACTGTATCGAGGACTATGTTCCATTCTCGGGTTATCTCCTACCGAAGCTCAGACGTAGGCTCAGGATGGGAACGTTGGAGATGAAAATGATACTGCATGGTGCGTCTTCTTCCGCGGTCTGAAATGATATGCGGTCATTGAAATTACATGACTTACTGGCTAGAGCAGTAATTTGCTCGTCACTGCTGAAGTTTAAGAACCCGAGATCCCTTATATGCTTTTGCACGACAGAATTATGGGTTTTGCGTATCCATTTATTTCGATAAACCTGTAAGTCATGTAGATATGAATTCACGGCGTGCTGCACTGCTCCATTTCCGGAAGTTGCCTAGGTTTCCTCATAATCGTACCATGGCTCAATGGTATTCGTACGGTATATGTTCAGCTTATGTAGTCATCGGGACAGTCACAGCTCAACATGAAAACCGGACCCCATTTATTTCAGGAGCATATTCTTGTGCTGTTTCATGATTGTGAAACCTCGTCTCTGGCGAAGGAGGACCAGAGGAGGTTTCAGTAAGGTATTTGCGATATCAAAAGGAAAGATCATGCTACGATGATTGAAGTGAGCAGTGAAACATGCCTTACATAAAGTGGAAGCTTCCATCACTGCAAGGAGAACGCTTTTATCAAAAGGATGCAAAGTGTACCAGAATAAGCGCCGTCTCTTAAAGCGTTGAAACTTCATAATCAATGCACTGAATTTTCGCCAATTTTCTAGCCATCCCCTGGTGTCCGGAGACAGATCTGGTTACAACAGCCTTCAACACCATTGTTCGTTACGTAGCTGTCGATTGTGCCTTTGTGCTTGGTGTCGCTTGTTTATGCTTTAATTTGTATTTTTTGTCTCCTGACTATCTGGGTACAAGTTAGGCAGTTTGTTGCTCATCACCAACGGCATCTTTTCGTGAGACAGTAAGCGTATTAGTTTCATAATTTGAGTATGCTGTTGAGGAACATAACTCCTTGTTTCATCATGTATGGTAACTTCCAGTGCTTATACCAATACCAAGTATACCCACGCTGAAGATGGATTCATACATATATGAGGTATCTCTGTGTATTGGAAAGAGTTAAAATATTTCTCAATCATGGCCTGATTGAGTAGTGCCCTACGTATTTATGAGCAAATTGACATATCGCACATTTGAAACCAAATTTGCGTTCTTATACGCTGAGGCGTGTGCACATATTTTTAGGTAATGATGGATGATGTTGCCGTCTGAGGGTAACAAAGCAACCGCGAAATCATTTATGACCTGTTAAGCTTAGAGTGTATAGGACGGATCGAATTTCAGCGTTATTAATACGATCTTAATTTTTTGCATTTGGCTTTAGGTGAACTGCGCCCTACTTATTTTTAATGGACTTTTTTTACAACGAAGTGGCGGATATCCTTTTGAAATTGGAGGACAGGTCAGGCAGCTTGAAAAATCTGATTTACCAGAGCTATATCCGGGTAAGACGATTGTTCAAAAGCGTTTGCTGCACTTACTACAAGGGCATTTGTTAATCGATGTAGCATTTGGGGAGAACGACGCAATTCGAATTTCAGCGTATCGTAAAATTTGCATTATATGTTTGTTCCCTCGAACAAATAATTCACCCCATTGAACTTCGGTGAAGGTAGTTAAGAATCACAGTGATAACAGCAAGTACAGCGACTTATCCTGTTCTGGTTTGACCGCGGTTGCTTAGTCGGTAGAGTATAAGATTCAGAGCCGAGCCATAACGGGTTCGAAACCTGCCGGTCAGGATGGCGTCACTCTTTCTGAGGTTATTAAATGAGTACCATTCTGTGAGAAGGAAACAGCATGCTGGTTACATAGCTGTGACGACTATGCGTTTAAAGTATGGCAGTTCTCGCTTGTGGCATGCAAATGAATAACAGTGGCCCACCGTTAAGGTCGTGAAGAGAGGGCGCCGGAAATGGCCCTATTGTCAACCTGTAAAGAAGACCAACCTTCCAGAATTCAATTTACAATTCTAATTTTCCTTCCCTTTCCTCTAGTGTAGTCATGCCCGAGAGTACGAAATACCAGGCAAACAATTCTGCTGCCTGATGTGCGTGTTTAGCGATGGCAGCTCGCCTTGACCAACCTAACAGGTGACCAAAACTCTGCAGAACATGTAAACCGTAAAAATGAATGTTTTTTTTTAAATTTTGCTTTGGTATCTGCGATTGTGACAGAAATCAGAAGGCATTCTCATTCTTTAGTCAGAATAACGGTAGTAAAGAATAATGCATCCTAATCGATGTAGTAACAGCGACAAAAGTTTCGTTTCACTTCCAAAGTAGTTTACGTACTTGCCTTCCGGTGGTTTTTACAGTTATGCATGATTTATAAGTACATGCGGATGTTATGCCGATTCATTGTTATTATGTCACCGCTGTACGTCCGCTTATATCCTTATTTCCGTTCTAGAACAAAAAAGTGCTTATGAAGCTTGCGACGAGCATCATGAAACGACGCAACGATTTGGAACGTCTTCGACGAGAAATGATCAGCGAGACACAAGACGAGTTCTTTACCGAAAAACAGTTTCTGGCGTTGGTACTTTTGTACGAGTACGCGTTCGGATGTGGCCTGAAGAAGAGCCACCGACTGAAAAAGTTGCTGTTGAAACATAAGAAAATTTTGACTTCGAAAATCGACCCATTGGTGGCTGAGATGAAGCGCAGCGGTGAACTTGACGAAGACGCTACCAAAATGTGCAAAGTGCCTCGCTATGTGCGGATCAATACCTTGAAAACTAGCACCGACGAAGTTTTGAAAACCCTTCTGACCGATGGCTGGTTGAAATTGTCAACGGGAAATTTGCTCACACAAGAACAGTAAATAGTTTTCGTGGTCATGTCCTTTTGGGTCACCGTATCATTCATCGTAGGTACATGCAGAAGGTGCGTTCTCTGGTGAACTGCGAATTTTTGGTCGACAAACACATTCCGAGCATTCTTACGTTTCCTCCCGGTACAGAACTTCATAAGAACGAGCTGGTGGTTGCCGGAAAGTTGATACTTCAGGATAAAGTGAGTTTTTTCAAGTATATGTTTCTCTCCTACTTTTGGCCAACTGCCAAAATTGCATCGTTCCGTCACTTTTAGCTGGCTTATAAATAATTGGCTTATTGGCCGCTGTTGAGTCTCGGCTTTTTAACACCGAAATTATGATTTGGCATGGAAACAGTGGTTTAAACTACGGTTGAATTGCCTTCAGCAGCTTTGGCTTTTGACGCATGATGAGAGCTAAATGTTAGGGCCATGTAACGAATGTCTCTGTTCTCTTACGGGCACAAGTGTGCCGTAGATATGAAAATTTAGAAAAGGAGATTGGTCCTGTTATTGAACATCAATCATATTAACGTCTCGTGTTGGAGTCAAAACAGAACACCTTGACCACTAGGTTAGCATACAGCACAAATGAACAAGTCACGGGAATACTTCCTTCCACGATACTACATTCGGTGCCTTACAGCGAAAGTTAAAAGTTGAAAAGCTGCCAATACTGCGGACGCCACATCCAAAAACGTTCTGGTTACGCAGACGGCTCGAGATAATGAAGTCATTAACGCATTCATCAGTAACCGTACTTTTCGTTATTTTCTTTCGGTTTAAATTTAACAAATTTATAGAATGATCATTTATAAATATTAGCACTTAACCTGATTTGAATTTATTAACAAGAGCAAATTTTCAACACCGCCGACAAGAATGACCAGCACGGTTCTGTTCTACGGCTTTACCCGCCACAGTAACACTGCCATTTTATTTCTAAAGGTCTACAGGTCGTTTAAGCATCCAATTACTTCGTAGCGCAAAGCAGGTTAGATTTATTACATATATGAACAGTATGTATAGTAATATGTCTCGTTATGTAGTAGTGTATATGTTGCCGTCCAAACCGTGTCCTCCTCCTGTTCGTTTTCTTGAAACTGGTGTTGCCAGTGCATTAGTGTTCTCTTTCTGTCATGAACACCAGCCAATTTCCTAGTTTATTTTGCTCTCCGGTGCCGTACTTACCTACATATTTTTTACTAGTCCTTCCTACCATTGAAGTCACACGTGACAAGAGTGTACTTGGCTTTACGATCAATGTCTGTTCCAGTACTTCATGGAATTCTTCCATTTCGTTCGCGACGGCTGTACTTGCGGACGCATAGATTTAAACGACTTCTAAGTCTTCTTCTTGTTCAGTTTGAGGCCCAGCACGCCAAGTTCTGGTGACTTAACATTGCAAGATACGGTTTTCAGGGACCAGCTTTTACTGACTACTGATTCGATTCTTCCTATGTTCTTCGCGTCTTCTCTTGTAAACCAGATGAAACAGATACCGTTTGGATGATGTCCAGACACCTGGACAGTTCCGGTGCCATTCGTCTTCTCTTGCCGTTATGTTTGTCAGAAGCCAATGATGTCGCAGACCGTCCCTTTCCTTTCCTCCGTTAGTTTGTTTTAAGTTTCTTCCATTGCCCGTGTTCTATAATTGTGAGTACAAACGGCCAGGAAGTCCGGGTCTGTTTAAAAGATGGCGGTCTTTCACCTGGGATTCTTATCAGCTGAACATTGAGCCGCCGTCATGGAACTGGATCGAGAGATGCTCAGGGTACCGAGGCCCATGTATTTGTGTTGTCATCGTGTGTGAAGTTTTGCCACTGGCTGGTAGGGCTGACGGTTGCTTTGCAAATTTCATACAGACGGGTTCCCCAATCCCATCCGATTTTTTTTTATCAAAGTTGTCTCTTCTAGCCTTTGGCCAACCGCCGTCTAATCACAAGACAGAGATGACATGGCGGCCTTTTTTCTTCAAAGGAGCGGGTCGCTTTCGCCTCTACATGAGGCTGTCAGTGGACACTGACTTTTTCTCTGAAGATCGAACTTTTCAAACTCGAACCCACTCAGGTTCTCTTGATTTTGCCGCTGCCTTCCGCGAATGTTCATTTGTCGTAGCTATCCTCAATAACTGGAAGTCGTTCCCCTATCCGCATTCTGGGGACGCTGGAGATGACCAGCTGTTAGACACACTGAACCGTAACTGTATAAGTACAAATATTGTTACTGACATGCTAAAGTGTTCATAACGAAGCATAACTGTGCTGTTAATGTACGTGCTATATGGTGTTGGATTAGTAGTTAGAGCAGCGTATATGCTGCTGCCCAAAATAATGATCCTTCTCTACCGATACAGACTGAAATTAGTTTAAATTTCAGCTCATACTG